TTCGCATGAGGTGGCCAAAGTATTGGAGCTTCAGCTTCAACATCAGTCCTTCCAATGAACACCCAGGACTGATCTCCTTTAGGATGGACTGGCTGGATCTCCTTGCAGTCCAAGGGACTCTCAAGAATCTTCTCCAACACCACAGTTCAAAAGCAACATGGAAATGAACATTATTTTTCATACAAAGTTAAAAGCACATTATATTTCCTTCCTGACCACTTGCCCAGTCCCCATCTCTTCAAGAGAGATAAGCTTCATCTGAATTATTTCATCTGATTGATGATTGTCATGTATAACTTTATTGCTACTTCTGTCTCAGGTACTCCTTTGGAAAAAGTGCATGGATCCATTACATATTCTAACGTATTGTCAATAGATTATAAGATAAAGTCAAGCATGTATCTGCTGATACTTTGTAAGTTGGCCTGTCTTATTCATACTTAGAAACGTCTCTTAGTAGTAGGCTTCTCTGGTGGCTCAGATGGTAAAGAGTCTGCCTGCAGTGCGGGAGACCCAGGTTTGATCCCTCGGTTGGGAAGATCCCCTGGAGAAGGAAATGGCAACCCGCTCCAGTATTCTTGCCTGGACAAAGGAGCCTGGCAGGCTACAGTCCCTGCGGTCGCAGAGAGCGGGACACGACTGAGTGACTATCATTCCCTCACTGTCTCCTGTGTGCACACACACTGTTTTGCGCTTCCACCATCATTATGGATGTGGCTCTTCAGAGCTCACTGTGAGCCCTTTGGAGGAGGCCTTGTTCGTGTATCCCCAGAGTCACACGCAGTGTTTCTGGACACAAAACAAGAACTTGATAAATATCCGAGTAAGTAATTGAATGAAGAAAAGCAAGGCATGGGGAAGACTCAGAGGAATCGGGTAGAGAGGGAGGTGGCAGGGGGGATCGGGATGGGGAATACACGTAAACCCAAGGCTGATTCATGTCAATGTATGACAAAACCCACTACAATACTGTAAAGTAATTAGCCTCCAACTAATAAAAATAAATGAACAAAAAAAAAAAAGAAAAGCAAGGCATGGTACCACAGAAGTTTAGAATCAGATGTCTTTTAAATCTAGGGATTCATCAAAGGATTCACAGAGGAGATGATATTGGAGCTATTCTTTGAAAAACAGATTGATCTTCAATGGATAAAAATGTGAGAGGAGATCATTCCAGCAAATGGGGTGATATGACCTAAAGTCAGGAGAGTGCAGTTTAAGGGCATGGGGCAAAGGAAAAGCAGCCTAGAAGATATATAGGGAAATAGTGGCTCATCCAGCCGTTATTACCAAGGCAGGTTAGGTCAAGGAGGGTTTTGAATGCCAGGGTAAGAAGTCTGGACTTCATTAGGCAATAGAAAGTCAGTAACATTCTTTTTTATTTTTGCATTTGCTCATATTTATATCCTTGTGTGTGTGTGTGTCTGTGTGTGCGTGCACGCATGCTTTGGGGAAAGTTAAGTGGCAGAGTGACAATACCGGAGTTACACTGTTAAAGTATAAAGAATAACCTGGTGGGGCTTTGCTAGCTGTATGTACGTTAACTGAAGTAATGCTGACATCTGTAACAAACAAACCCCCTCATTTCAGTGGTGTAACACATTCAGCCGTCCGTTGTGGGTGTTACTGGCTGGTGGTAAATTTTCCTGGGGGTGGTTCTGTGCTACAGCCTCTGGGAGAAGCTCCATCTTCTTCTTAGCAGCCTTGGCCCAGAAATGACACTCTTCCCTTTCACATCCATTCCTTCAGTGAAGAGTAGTCACATGGGTGTGATGGGAGCTGGGAAGTGCAGTCTCAGACTAGGAGCCATATCCCAGCAGCAAGTATCTCCTTCATCGGAGATTACACATCTTCCGCGGACAGAGCTTTCTCTGCCATACAGTTCAAGGAAGAATGCTAGAATGAGAGACCCCCGAGAAGCCTTTACAACAAACAGAAACTTTGGCCTGAACCAGGATAAGGACAAAAGAACAGACAGTTTAAGTTGAGCGAGCTTAACTTGAAGTCAGATATTGGAGAATGAGATGTTGAGATATTTCTCAATGAAGCCATTAGGATGATTAATCTATATCACCCTAGTCCCCAGATCTGCTCCTAAAGAAGGATGAGAAAAATAACCCATATTTTTGCATTGATTTACCAAGAGTTGATTTGTACTTTTCTTCTTCCAGAAGGCTTAACTACAGAGTTTACCAAAACCCTATTTGATTCTCTAATAAATCCTGTTAAAAATGTTAGACTCACCTTTTCCCACTGGTTTGCATGAGGTTTAAGTAACACAAAGGATGGTGAAGAGCCTTGTTAAAGACATGCATAATTACTTGATGACTTGGGTGCTATCAAAGCCTGTTCTCCTAATTGCTTTGCTTTCATTAAACATCCCTGGAACAAGCTTTGGGCTTTTAATTATCCGCATATTTGTTTTAAGAATTAGAAGAAGTGACATCTCGTCATTAATTTGACGGCAAGATAGCAAGATTAATTAAACTTGGCCTCTGGGTACTTGGTTATTATTTTACTAATTACTAAACAAAATAAATTAATAAAGACAAAAGAGCAATGTCTCCTCATTAACTGAATCTAAAATTTCTGTGTCCAGGTCTGAGGTTAAGTGCAGCTTTTTCTTTTTTTTTTTTGGTTAAATGTGGAGACTTTCTGTAGGAAAAAAATGTATGTGTGACTAAGAGACTGAACAAAATGAACTACCCGTGATTTAACAAGAACCCTGACTGAAAGGAACAGAAATGTGACTAGAGAGAAACTTCAAAGTCTTTTCTAGATGGATGAAATGTCTGTCTCGACAACTGCTATTTGACATCGTGAAGAAAGTGCCTAGGAGAGAGCCCAGCAGTAGCTCCGCAGAGGAAAACCGAAGCCCCTGAGGGGGCAGGCCGGCAGTGCAGCTGGCCCACCCTGTGTCCCGACAGAGCCGCTCTCCCCACTCTCCCCGCTCTCCCCGCTGCCTGCCGTCAGGGCTAGAGGACCTCTCCGCGGTGAGGTCGCCACAAGTCCTCCTTGACTCACGGTGGGGAGGGAGTGGGGCAGGAGAGCTCATCTGAATCTAACCCACGGGGTGGGGTCAGCTTTATCCTCTCTACAGACAATGCTCCTCTCACCAAAGTGATTAGGTTTTACATGGGGAATGAGGAACAAAAGCTTTAGTCCTATTGAAGCCTGATTTAGCAATCCTTCAAGTTCTCTTCTGATCTACAGAACAGCCATTCCACACACTGTTTCTCGACAAAGCCCTTTCACAAAGGCGTATTCGTTTCATCCTTAAAGCCTGGGGCAGGGCTTGTATCAATGTTCTGCTGTACAGATGTGGATGACAGCTGGAAGGGAGGGAGTGTGGTTTGATAACATCCAAAGAATCAACCAATTTAGCTATTTGGTCCCGTCCCCTCTGCCCCCATTTTATAAACACAGGAAACTTGCACCTGCTAAGAACAGGGATAACAGACTGCATTTGGATTTGACATTCTTTCCACGACTTAGGGTGCCGGGGAGATGAAGAGTCATCAGGCAAGAGGCAGGTGCAGGGGAGCAAGAAAGGCAAGGGTGTCCCCCACTGGACCGTGGGCGCCTGATCTAGAAGCCCTTGCTGCAGGGTGCACGGGAGCGCTTGTCAGCTAGGCAATTCCCTGCAATACTTCCCAGTCACTAGCACAACTGGAAGGAAGAAGAAAGCACAGAACATGCATTAATGCAGGGCCCACTCTTCCCACCAGAAACGTGGGGTCAGATAGGTCTGGGTTCAAATTCTGGCTCCACCACAAATGAGCCCTGCAAACTTGGTCCTGTGATTTAACCTGCTCTGTGGTTTCCTGATGCAAAAATGGAGGCCAATGATAGGATGCATCTCACTGAGTGGTAATGTGACTTAAATGAGGTGGTACCCACAATACACCAACACCTGGCTATTATTATCATTACTGATATTTAATACACCTTTCTCACCCTGTCAGACCCCGATGCCATCTTCTGCCTTAATTACACTTACTAAAGGATTTACTCAGTATTCCCTTATAGTTTTAGCCCTCTTCTTAATGAATATGTCTCATCTCCTCAAGCCAAGTGTAGCTTTTAAAGGATGGAGATCCATCTTCTGGGGCCTCCTAGAGCTCTCAGCGCTGTGTCATGTATGCAGCGGGTGTTTCAAAAGACATTTCTGGATCAAAGCACCTCACAGTATCCAACTGGGACCTCATTCTCACTTTTTCCTTACTACTGAGAGCTTGAGAATTAGTGGACAATTTTTTTTTTAATTTGTATTTTTTTGGAGTACAGTTGATTAACAATGTTGTATTAGTTTCAGGTGATTCATATCACGGATTCATACATGTATCTAATCTTTTCCAAACTCTTTTCCCATTTAGGTTATTACAGAGCCAATGGAAACTAATGGAAAGAGGTCTGGAGGTGGGAGGGAGTAGGGGCAGGGCCCACTAGTGTTGCTGGAAAAAGCATGAATTCACTATGAATCAGATCGGTCAAGACTAGATTCTTGCCTGGAAAATTCCGTGAACAGAGGAGACTGGCAGGCTGCAGTCCATGGGATCACAAAGAATTGGACATGACTTATCTCACACACACCACACGCAGTCCAGATTTCTTCCACTTGTTAGTTATGTCCTAAGGCGTCATGGAGAAAATAAATCCGGTCTTATGGAGCCTGTGTTAGGGCCCATAGTACCTGTTGGGCTGTGGGGGGACTCAGCAAATGTGAAGACTTCTTCTCCGCATTGATGACGTCAACGAAATGGAAAACATTTACAAATTTTCATGCCTGTGCGGCCATTGCCACCGGGTTTGGATGATTACCAGCGCCATTACCTTTGTGATACCCAAACCGTGTTCGTACATGTAGCCCAGGTTGAACATGGCTTGTGCACTGTGGTACTTGTCGGCTGCGATGCTGTAGTGTGTGGCTGCTGTGTGATAGTCTTTCTTGGTCCCGAAGCCATAGTAATGGTAATCTCCAGTTTTCACTCTAGCAAATGCATTGCCTGATAGAAATACCAGAAAGAGAAGAACTCAAATGATTCAGGTGAAGTTCCTAGTAACTCAACCTAGTGATAATCTATACAGAAAAGAAAAAAAAACAACACACTTAGAATCCCACAATCAGGATTAGATATGATTTATGGATATAACACACAATGCTAGCTGTCTTCATTGTAGGATAATTCCCACAGTATGGCACAACTGTTCTTAAAGAGTAAAACATTATAAAAATGTTTTTTTACATGTACACGCCGCTATATTTTTGTTTGTTTTTGGCCATGCCTCGTCTTCATTGCTGCACATGGGCACTCTCTGAGGGTGGAGAGTGGGGGATTCTCACTGCCACGGCGTCTCAGGGGCTGCGGTGGTTGTGGCACACAGGTTCGGCAGCTGCAGCTCGCAGGCTCTATAGCACAGGCTCAATAGTTGTGGTGCATGGACTTAGTTGCCCCATAGCATGCGAAATCTTTCTGGACCAGAGAGCGAACTAAGTGTCACCTGCATTGGCCGGAGGATTCTTATCCACCGTGCCACCAGGGAAGTCCCAGAATATAACATTATTAATTTTACCTTTTAGATTCATTTTCCGAAGGTAGGTCAACTGGATCCCATCCCTCTTTTCTCAGATTTCAATCCTGCAAAAGCTCTGCTCTCCTGCATCACCAGCTTCTCCCCCTTTCTAGTCCCATCAGTCACACAAACACCCTTTGGTATCTTCTGTGAATGACATCAAACCCTTCATCCCATTTCTTCATCCCACGGCATCTCCTTGTCACAACGCCCCATTTCTCGGTTTACTTCACACTCAGCCTTTCCAAAAGCGTGTTCTATACTCACTGTCTCGAAAGCGTCTCCTCCCACATACTCTTCAACCCACCCCAGCCTGGCTTCTGCTGCCCCCTCCATGAAACTGGGACTTTCAAGGTGGTCGATAACTTCCATGCAGCCAAAACCCCTGGCTACATCCCTGTCTTCATTGCACTGGGCCGCCAAGCCACACTAGAATCCCTGAGCCTAACTGCCCAAGTCCTTGCTTCTCTAGACTTCCCTCATGTCCCATAGGCCTCTCCTTTACAGACTCTTGCCTGACTTCCTCTACTAACTTCTAAATGTCGAACTGGTAAGGGCTTATCACTGATTTTATTCCTCCAGCTTCTCTCCCTTCTTTTCTCTCCTCTCTTGCCTACCCCTCCTCTCTCCACCAGTCTGCTCTGATGGTGCACGTCATCTCATCTAGTTACACAGCTCTCTATGTTCACTATTCCCGATTTTGTATTTCCAGTCCTGTCTCTCATAAGCTCCAGATTCTTACAGGGGCCTTCTTGACTTCGCTACCTAGATCTCAAACTTGAGACATCCAGTAGAGATTCTTAACACGCCATTACCCCTTCCTCCAAACAAAATCATCAGTTTCTTTCCTCTCTCAGTGCCAGCACCCCACTTCTCAGGCCATAAATCTAGGAGAATTATCCCCAGTTCTTTCCCCTCACTTTTATTATCAAATCCATCAGCAAGTCCTCTTTCTCTAAAACACACCCATTTTTTGCCCGCTCCTCTACCGTCTAGTCTTATCCTGGAACATTACAACAGCCAAGATGATTTTTTTCAAATGTAAAGTCGAATCATGTTATTCCCTGTGTGAAAAACCTCTTTCTCTAAAATACACCCATTTTTTGCCCTCTCCTCTACCGTCTAGTCTTATCCTGGAACATTACAACAGCCAAGATGATTTTTTTCAAATGTAAAGTCGAATCATGTTATTCCCTGTGTGAAAACCCTCATGCGCCTTCACTTTACACTTGGAATAAGCATCCAGGTGCCCTGACCTGCAAGCGATGCCTTGTCTGTCTTCTGCCTCGCTGACTATCCTTATCACTTGTCACTTTCTTGGTATGTTCTGGCCTTCTTCATATTCCTTCAACAGACTGAGCTCATCCTTGCCTCAGGATCCCTGCACTAAGATTCCTCAAGCCCCTCTGCCTGGCTTGTTTGGAGTTCCTCATCCTTCTGATCTCACTGCAAATGTCACTTCCTGCCTAGCACCTTCTCTGACCACCTTGTCAGACTACCCTCCAGTAATTATCTGTCCCATCTCTATGCTTTATTTCTTCACGGCACGTATCATTATTATTTTGTTTACTAGTTTATTTTCTCTCTCTCTTTGATGAGAGAAAACTTTGAAGCTCTTGATCACTAATACAGTCCCAGAACTGGAACGGAACCTGATGAATATTTATGGAATGAGTGGATAGACATGGTAGGGAACTTTTTTAGAAAATGCTTTGCCCAGATGTTAAGTATTTTACAATCTTAATTTCCAACAAACATGAAAATATTCATGTAGGAGTAGAAAAAATTCACATGACTTTTTAAGATGTGAGACTTCAGTCTTTTGAAGGCTAATTAGGGATGACCTCTAAGGGGGTCTCTGGGGCCCGTGCTTTCAGTCATTAGGACTATGTTGATTGGAAAGATGAGGGAATGCTTAGCAGGACATCCACTTCAACTGTGGCCAACCCTGATGCACAGTCTAGGCTTACTTGAAAAACCAGAAAGTAACCTTGTGTGATATGGTTCACGTCATTAAGGGCTATAGAACTCCTTCTAAGTTTTTCTCCCCATTTGACCTAATACAAAGCCTAAACAATTTTGAAATTGATTCCTTTGGGTTCTGAAGTTCTTTTAACCTTTTGGAATCCTGTACTAAAATGTAAACCAGCTTTAGCTTTCTATAAGTAGAAGTAACATCATAAAATTCTTAAGCTGCCAAAGATATTAGTTGTTAGGGTTTGCTTCCCAGGTACTTCAAAATGTACAGGTAGCTGGGGGCAAGACCTTATAGAAATGATACCCAGCAGAGGGGCCTGGAGAGGCAAGAGATGCCTTGAGTTCTAAAGAGAAACCTGCTCCATCTCTAATTTTGCCCAAAGCTGCCTTAACCTTTGACCCTAAGATTCTATCTGCACCATAACCAAAAAGAACAGGACTCTGCATTTTCGAGCTTTACAAGCAGTAAGCAGGACCCCGGAGGTCTCTAAGAATGAAAGGCTGTGAACAAGCAGATTCTCCAGAGGATTCGGCTCCACCCTACACAGGGGACTGACTGGGGGCAGGTGGCAATCCTGACAGGCCCCCAGAGGATCAGGGGGAGGGATTTCCCCTCCAGTTCACCATCCTGATGGTTCAGCAGCCTCGTCACACACAGCAGCTCCCGAAGGTAAGCACCACCAGTGACTGACTGGAAGCCTGACGTCTACCACCAGACTTCCTCACCTCGAGGCAGCCACTCAGCGGCTGCATCTTCAGGGACACTCATGCCTGACCTTCTTTGACACATGATTACTTTCAGTGGTCTGACATTTTTATATTGGTGAACTGTTCAATATAAACGTCCTCTTGTTTTCAAGGTCTCTTTCCCTTGGTGAAGCTTCTGCAGCATTTCATGGCTCGGGGTAAACCTGTATTTGCCACAGTTGAGCTGATTTGCCACAGCTGAGAGATTGCTGGTGGTGTTTCCCCACTCCAAACAAGGAACTTCATTGAATTTTAGAAAACATGGGCTTTTCTTTTTTCAGGAATTTCTCACTAAAATCACACGGATGGCTTGCCGCTGTGGTAGCAGGTTGGCTGGATCCGAGAAGACACCAACGGGGACTTTTTCTTCTGCCTCATCAACTGAGAATTGTTTTTTATCCCATTCACTTCTTAGAGAAAAGAGATGATTCGACCTTAGCATGAGGTGACTTTAAGAAATTAATTGGAAGTAAAATTGCTCTCTTACTATAAGACAGTTCCTCACATATCCAAATGCCAGTAGTGACAGCTTTGCAGAAGCTCTCTGCTTCTGGTAATATGATTTTAGGGAAAGAATGGAATGAGACACAGTGATGCAAATGCCACCTGCCACTGCTTCCCCACCACCCTATCTTACCTTCCTCATCACATGTGATCCCTGTAGTGGGGCCTAGGAACTCCAGGAAGTGGGGTGGGGGGGTGGATCTTGCTAATTTTTTTTTTCTGATGCTACCATACTAATCGTTATAATAAGGATCTGAAGTTTGTGGTAATCTTCAAAGTGATATTTTAAAAGAAGAATCAAGCAAGTCTTACAGCCATAAGTAATTTTATCTATAAACTCATTGAAAGATAGATAATATTTCTGATAAGTTAAAAAAAAAAAAACTCAGCGAATGAGTGACTGAAGCCAGACCAAGAAAACTGATTTCTTGAGTAAAACTGTCATGTTTCAGACAACTGTTTAGGTCCCATGGAGACAGCGCCATAGAAAAATTCCTGCCATATGCTAAACTGGGGACCTTGAGAATAACAAAAGAAATTTCTGGAAATGACCTCCAACCAAAGACTGACCCTATCATCAGTTTGAAATACCATGTACTAGATATTCTGCACCTTTCTGCCTATTCGTCCAAGAGCTCAGCTGTAGCAAATCAGAGGAATAATAGTGGACATGGGCCAGACAGTGCTTATTTTTATCTAAGTTCAGATACCTTGAATGGCAGCTCGATTCCATAGGAGAAGTGCCATTGGATACATCTTCTCTTTTTCAAGAATTTTAGCCTTTTCTTAAAAAAAAAAAAAAAAAAAAGGAGACATTCCATTAGGAAGGCTTAAGATGCCCCTGTAGTAAAGTCAAATATGCATATGTATGATTAGGGAATGCAGAGAATTTTAACTTATCTTACTAGTTTCCAAAATGAATGCTGAATTGCTTTGAGCTACTTCATACCCCATTTCTGCAAGCAGTGCGTACTGAACCAGAGAAGAATCTATATCACCATTCTTATAAGCAAAGTATGCTGTCAGGAAGCTCTCAGCCCAGTGGCCTAGTTCACAGACACCTTTATAAAGCTGTGTTTGGAAAGAAAAATCAAGCAGACCAGTTAGCTAATACATGTCATTCCATGCAAATGATAACTGACATCAGTCTTTAGTTCCTCCTGGCTGGTCAGGCCAGGATTTTTGGTCTGAAGCATGGCTTTTGAAAATTATTCAGGGTGAGGAGTTCATACCTTTCATAGGCACAAAGATTATAAAAGTGTGTATTTTATTTGTCTTGAGCTTAACGTTCCTGGGGCTTATTTTAAATTTGCGTAATAAACTTTTTTGACTTGGAGGCTATTTGGCAGGACAAGAATGTATCAACTTCTGTTTTTTTTTTTTAAGGGCCTTACCGGGCACTGCTGCCCTGTGAGGGCAGCTGATGTGGAAAAGAGAAGGAGGGGAAGACAGCGCCTGAGGGTGCAGGTGACAGAACGGTGCGGGAGGTATGCAGCGAGGTATGGGGACAACTGTCAACTGAACAGCGCTTACGTAACCAGGAGGTTGGCCATACATAATTCATTAGGAGGTTGGCAAAGGAGCAAATCTAAAGATAGATTATTAGCTGGCAGCTTTTGAAACGGATTTCAGAGGGGTCAGATTACAACGTGGAGGTATTCATACTGGTGCGGGGGAAGTGTTTAATAAATCAGTGAAGGACATTAAGATCCTAAAAGCATTCTTTTGAAAAGTGCACCACTATCCCAGGTTAAAAGAATTCACTTTCTCAGGTGTCATCCAAATCATCAGAGAACCCTCAGGACCTTGCTTTCTGGGAAGAAGCGGGCTATATTTTCTAGGCTAAATCAAGCCTTTCATTTCCCAGGTTGCAACTCCCAATCCCACTAGAAGTGCCAAGTTGCCCTGGCAATTTGATTGAAGATTGAAACAGAGCTCCCTAACTGAATTCTGAGGAGAGCTCTGAACTTGATGAAAAGCCAAATGCAAGAGAGAGGAAGGATTGCTTCTCTGCCTCCCTTTCCCAGGCTGAGTTACATCACTGCTCTTCCTCTCTGGCAAATGTTAGTATTCACATTGTCAGCTGGAAGAAACAAGATAATATGTATAAAATCAAAGGCACCGCAAGTTAGGGACAGTATCACCTCCTCTGTGTGACAAATGAAAAGTACTTCAGAAACAGCTCTTGATTTACCTCCACAGCGGTTCTGCATGATCGCAACACTCCTGTTCCTGTGGCATACATCTCAGCCAGGTAATAAATGGCTAGGGGCTGCCCACTCTGAGATGCCAAGTAAAAATATTTGAAGGCAAGTTTATAATCCTTCCATACTCCAGAGCCAGCTGAAAAATAAAAATCATTTTGAGCCACCCCTTATTTACATTATCTTTTTACATTAAAATCTATACATGTAATGGGGAGGAGGGAAGTTGAGTTAGATTAGAAGTAAGAGTGTGGAAATGAATGTTCTCTGCCCACTTAGCAAACTGGAGAAGGACTGTCTAGTCTCATGAAAATGTCTCTTCAATATGGCACATATTGTTAAAGAAGTTAATGGAAAGGAGGCCAAGTTGTAGTCTCTGGGGACCAGAAGCCCCTCCGTGGCGTGTGCTACCATCACTGTTGTCCTTCCATACCAGGGGGCCAGAAGAGCTCCTCCCAGACGTAACCATGGAGTTTGGGGCAGGTGACGCCCAGCTCCAAGGGGCCCAGCTCAGACTCAGCTCATGCCTGGGGCAAGGAGAGGTGTTTGGAGCTGGTGTGGAGAATCAGCTACTCCCAGAAGCTGGGGTTCTTGTCGGGGTTCTCCCATTACTCCTTTCGTGACTTGGGCACCTTGGGGCACATCCTTTGCAAGAGGAAGGGCTTTCTTTAGGTGGTTCTGACATTGCCTCCCAGCTCTAACATTTGTTAGCCTTCGGAAGCAGTGCCGTGTTGCTGCTGAGAGCAGCGGCTCTGCCGATAGTTCATTTGGGTTAGAATCTCAGATCCACTGAGTGTGTGATCATGTGACACAAGTCGGGTAAGACTTGTGACCTCAATATGGCTCAGTTTGCTCATCTATAAACTGTGGGATACCCCGCAAGATGTGTTGAGAGGACTAAATGAGTAAAAACATATCAAGACTTAAACATCAGCCATAACTGTTACCTTAATTTTAGTAAACTGTGGGATACCCCGCAAGATGTGTTGAGAGGACTAAATGAGTAAAAACATGTCAAGACTTAAACATCAGCCATAACTGTTACCTTAATTTTAGAAGCTTGAGGAAGCTGATGGATCGTGGGGCTGGGACTTGGAATAAACCAGAAGGACAGGCTATCTCAGGCAACCTTCCAAGATGTACAGAACAGACTCTCCAGCTGGACTATTGTGGAAAATGCCAGCTGACCTCTACGCCAGATCTGACTTCCTGATGATGCATCTGCTCCTGCCCTTGCTCCACCTCTGATGGGACGGACTGAGACAGAATACTCAAGGTATATTTGGATTTCTTGGTATGTGTCTTGGCCAATCTCTTCCTCAGTCCTTACTAAAATGATTACAAATCTTCAAGGCTTTCTGAGATCACCTACCTCAATCACTCCACCTCTGTTCTCAGACAATGACCGTACCTCTGAGCTCACCAAAGGAATCCTCTCATTATCTTTCCTCACTTGCCTCTCTCCCTCGATTTACAACTGCACCATTTGTTTCATCATCTCTCCAGTTTTTGAGGACAAGAAATCCCTCCTCTTTATCAAAGCTAGTAAGGCTTCCTGGACCTGATCAGACACTTGTAGATTCGCCACTGGTCAGGTAAGAACAGAAATGCCACTTACATTTTTCCAGAACCTTTTCATCAGTTATCTCATCTCCCCAATGACACATTAACTGCCTCCATTGGCTGACCCTCTTTCATTTTTCTGCAAAAAATTATACTCAAGTCTCTCACCATCTTAAAAACAACTTTCTCTTGATTCTTGGTCTCCCTCATGCTATTATCTCATTTCTCTCCTCCATTTAAAGGCAACTACACTTCCAAGAATATTTGGACCCATCTACCTCTTCACCAGAGACATTACTTTGCCAACAAAGGTCCATCTAGTCAAGACTATGGTTTTTCCAGTGGTCATGTATGGATGTGAGAGTTGGACTGTGAAGAAAGCTGAGCACTGACGAATTGATGCTTTTGAACTGTGGTGTTGGAGAAGACTCTTAGAGTCCCTTGGACTGCAAGGAGATCCAACCAGTCCATCCTAAAGGAAATCAGTCCTGGGTGTTCATTGGAAGGACTGATGTTGAAGCTGAAACTCCAATACTTTAGCCACCTGATGCAAAGAGCTGACTCATTTGAAAAGACCCTGATGTTGGGAAGGATTGAGGGCAAGAGGAGAAGAGGATGACAGAGGATGAGATGGTTGGATAGCATCACCGACTCAACGGACATGAGTGGATAGGCTCCGGGAGCTGGTGTTGGACAGTGAGGCCTGGCGTGCTGCGATTCATGGGGTCGCAAAGAGTCAGGCACAACGGAGCGACTGAGATGAACTGACTGACTGACCTCTTCACCTCGCATGTACTCCTCAGCCCACTATATCTGGCTTCCCTCTCAACCAGTTCGATGACCTCACAAACATCCTCCTTACGGATAAGTTCCACTTTTTTCAAAAAGTGAGAACCAGGCTTTTCACTGAATTTCAGTGGAGTATCATTCATTTACTCTTTCTTGACATTTCTACCCCTTGTCCTCCTTAAGATAACCTCCTCCCCACCCCATCCCTCTGACTGTGCATTTTCAGTCTTCCTGTGATGACTCTTTCTTTGCCCATATTTTCAATATGGTGCCAAGGATCACCAGGTTTCTTATAGTGGCCTACCACTCCTTTCTCTCACTCTCTCCGTTCCCTTTGGAAGCTCGGCTACTCTTAACCAACACCTTTATGTTGATGCCACCCAAATCTTTCTCTCAAGTTTGACCTTTCTTGTGAGTTTCATACTAGCTCAAACTTGGCTTTTTAAGGTGAACTTTCTGGTTGTACCTCATTGCTCCCTCCCCCAAATAGTGTACTTTTCCTTGTCTTCTTCAAATTCCTCCTCAAATTGTTGCCTGATTTTTCTGTCTAAACCATCCACACCAACCCTTTGATTTGTGTTAAAAAAGGAGCAGACTTAATGATGCATTTGTCATCCTAAGTAAAGCAGCCACATGTATAGTACTTACAGTAGTACATGAAGCCTAACTGAAACTGTGCATTGGGCCATCCCTTCTCTGCAGCTTTCTGAAAGTATTTAAGCGCTTCTGCGTAATTCTGCAAGATAATTACACTTTGTTACTCAAAGGTACATGCATAACTCCATGGTAACAATTGCCTTCCACTTTTTCAAAGAGTGTAGTTAGTGCCCTATGTGATTTAAGCTAATTAAAATTGTATCAGAAGTGTTACACATTTTATTTCATTATTATATTAGATTCTACTAAGAAATAATTATCTCATTATCATTGTAAATTATGTCTTTTCCTACACTGACAATAGGCTTTGTTAGATATTGGGGGAAGGTCACTCAAAAGACAGAAGTTAAACTAAGAAGACAAATTTATCTATACAAAAAAAATCCTCTTGGGTTAGATGATTTCTAAGGTTACTTAGAATCTATGATTCTAAGATATTAATTGCAGTTGTTATTCTTGTCACAAGATTACTCTATGTCTCTAGCAAATATTTCACTGGATTATTTTATTTTGTATTATCAGATATGATACCTTGGCAAACCAGGTAATAGAGACTAATTCCTTTAAATTAATCAATGGTCATGAATTTCACCCTAGTCAATTTCTGGAAACATGAAAGATGATAAAACTATTTAACTTACCACAGGAACTCCTTTCCCATAAAAGTGAAGAAGACCAAGCCCATGAAGACCAATTGCATTGCCCTAGAACGAGTTTAAAAATCGAAGTAAAGTCTTAGAAGAATTCATGATAAGGAAAAGTATTGCAAAATCATTCACAAAATTTGAAACACGCACAATAGGAAGTGAATTAAGGCAGGTTAACAAGGCAGTTGGCATTATTCTGACCCTCTGTACTTTCTCCTTTCATACTTTTATAGCCCCCTTCTGACCAGAAAAGAGGGAAACGACAGTCACATCTTTCCTCCAATCTTCTTTTTCTTACTTTTTTTTAAAATTGGAGAATGATTGCCTTATGACATGAAATCAATTTCTGCCATACAACAGTATGAATCAGTTACAAGTATACAAATACCCCTTCCTCTTGAACCTCTGTCCCAATTTTTCGTTCAGCATTTCTTCAGCGATTGCTTTGTGAGACTCCACAACAGGCATCAGGCACAGGTAGGAGGTGAAAGTCAAAAGATAATGAGGCAAACCAGATAGACCCTGCCATGGCTAAAGACAGCCTGACAGATCCATGGGCTCTGACCTGCTAAGAGGGGCCTCTTAATCATGGCAAATGCGGTGAGTCCTATAGTGGAAACAGATGGATGGTGTTGTGGGCACCCCAGAAAAGGGACGCTCAATTGCCTGCAGGACTGAGCAGAATGAGTTGTTAGAGGTGGTGACATCTGAGCTGGATCTTAAAGGATGTGTAGGAATTTTTCAGAAGGTAGAAGCCTATCTAAACGCTTGTTACCTGCTTTGGGCAAAGGAGGTTGATGTAAGTGGCCAAATAACATTTTAGAGACTGTGGATTTCAATCTAGCCTTTGTAGATGGTAAAGCACAGTTGGCCTATGTTTTTTTATTCAAATTTTACTGTTTATTAGGTTTATAGTATTTCCTTAGAAACTTAAGTTCTGATCGAAAACTCTCCAAATTTCTTTTTACTGCCTAAACATATTCATTTGTAATTATTTTTAATAATTTAACAATTGAAATGTAATTATTGCAGATACAGATAGAGTACTCCTCAGTAAGACAGAAATTGCACATAACTAGAGACGGCACAGTTCAACAACTATTTCAAGATGCTTAACTTTGAACCTATCTATATTCAAAGGGCCAGCTAGTGTAAGAATTCTTGAGGACAATCTATGTGCATTTCAAACAGCTGGTATATGTCTACCATCCTCTTCTCTCTTCTCCCCTGACTATGTCTACCTGTAGATCCAGAAGTTTGGGGACAGTCTGCCCTTGGGGTAAAGCCTAGTGTGATGCATGTGGTAAAGTATTGAATCTATTTCCTTTTAGCTACCCTCATTTATTTATTTTTTATATTTTTTTATGTAGACCATTTTCAAAGTCTTTACTGTTACAATATTGCTTCTCTTGTTTCATGTTTTGTATTTTGGGCTTGGGGCTTGTGAGATCTTAGCTCTCCAACCAAGGACTGAACTCGCACTCCCTGCATTGCAAGGAGAAGTCTTAACCACTGGACCACCAGGGAAGTCCCTATTTTTATTTAGATGTTGAGAGAAATGAGAGGGAAGGGAAATGAGAGGAAGAAAAAGGGAAGGAGGCAGAAAGAGAAAGGTTAGAATAGTGGAGACAAATTCCTTTCTTTCTTTAAGAGAATCCCTGGGGAACCAGGGGCTCATTGGATGACTCACCAATGGTTTAAGGCCCAGAGTAATGGACATGAGTTTGTGCAAACTCCAGGAGATGGTGAAGGACAGGGAACCCTGGCGTGCTGCAGTCCATGGGGTCACGGGTCACAAAGAGTCAGACACGACTTAGCAACTAAGCAACAGCAAAACCTGTTCAGAACATTCAGATCAAGAGCAGCCGACTCAGATGCCCCCAGAGCCATGCTGGTAATGTAAGACATGCATACGCCAGGTTATGGGGGAGAGTTGGAAACCGGGGCGAGCCAAGAGCGCCTGCACGTCTAAAGGCCGCGGCGCCGCCTCTGTTCTGCTGCGGCCCACTGTCCTCACATGGAACGGCCACCTCATGTGCTCAGCCCTTCTCGTTTTCCAAGAAAAGCTGCATCCAGATTTTGATATGAAATTTCCTAATTTTTAAAACTCCTTCCAAGCCGAAAAAAAACATATGCGTAGGCAATCCCTCTCCTTATACACAACTTCCACTTAGGGTGCAGTGCTCTTGCTGAGACGAACTGACACGAACCCAGGGAGCAGATGCTCGTATTAGGGAAATACTCAAGGAACTCCTATGAGGAACTGAGACCACGGCCGCACTCTCGGTGGAGAGACGTGGCCTTCAGACAGGAGGAGGGAAGGCACAGGGTAGAAGCAGTGAAGTTCTAGCAGGTCTTAGAGTGGACAAGGGCACGTTCAGAAGGGGGAGAGCATGAAGTGTGCCGGGGAGGCGGGGAAGGCTTTGTGGAGGGACAGAGGACTAAGCTCTGCGCGGGGGGCGGGTGTTCAGAATGATTCTGGGAAGGGAGAGGGGATGGCAAAGGTGTGAGGATGGAGCTGGCTGCCGTGTCCACGGTCGTGAGAGAGAAAACCAGAAAAATATGGTCCAGCTTGGGCCCAGCATCACACTGGATGACTGTTCACGTTTCTGTGTAAGATACAAGAAGTCAGAAAATCCATAGCTTTGCATCCTGGTACTGATATGAGTTGGAAACAAATTAAAAAAGCATCAGTTAAAACAAAACAAAACAAAACATCTGTATGTCTTCTTTGGAGAAATGTCTGTTTAGTTCTTTGGCCCATTTTTTTTATTGAGTCATTTGTTTTTCCGGAATTGAGCTGCAGGACCTGCTTGTATATTTTTTAGGTTAATTCTTTGTCAGCTGCTTCATTTACTATTATTTTCTCTCATTCTGAAGGCTGTCTTTTCACCTTGCTTACAGTTATCTTCATTGTGCAAAANCGAGGTGCTAGTCATTTATAAATAGGCTCCTAAAGCAGCGTGTGGGCTTTTAAAAGGCATGAACAGTTGAAAATATTCCCCATTTGAGCACATCTCTACTGCCAGTATTGCAGTAAGATGGTGTAAGACAACAAAAGGCTTCCTACCCCGCTGGGATAGAAAGTTCATCAAGGCTGCCCTCCAACGTTAGGGTGGTGGGTGCTGCCCTGAGGATGTCTTTCATGCACCAAAGGGCTTTAGGGGAGCCTGTTAAACCTCACCTGACAGACCCAGCCTCACTGAGCTTAGGAACCAAGGAAGGAACCTCAATGGCAGAAGCCACACTCCTCGATTACTGTTTCCTCACAGATCCAATCCCTTCTGCCTTGGATATGCTTTGAAATTCACTCTACCTAACGGGCCCCAGACTTAGAAAGATAATAGCTGACACACAGCACGTACTATGCACCAGGCACTGCTTCAAGTATTTTTAATATGAGGCACAAAACTATTGACTCATTAAATCCTGAAAACAACAATATGAAGCAAGTGTTCTTATATTCTCATCTTATAGACAGGGAAATTGAGATGTGGAGAGGTTAAGTAACCTGGCTACAGTCACACAGTCAGCTGAAGGACTGGCCTTCGAACCAGGGATTCTGTCTCCAGAGCTGTGCTCTCAGCCATCTCATCCTGGCTCTTGGACAGTCTTCTGCCTGAGCCAGAGCTTTGAGTAAGGTCAGAGGAGAGAAAACTGGGCATTTCTTGGTTATCTTTTTACTCACTTACCATAGTTACTGAGTTATCCCTTGCTCTGTGCTCATCTTTTTTGTTTCCTGAGCTAGATGGCCTCGTGTACTACATGGTGGAGGGGACGCTGAGCTTCTCTCTGGCCTCCAGCTAGGATGCTATCTTCCATTTTCCAAAGAGGCGAGATGGGTCTCTGCCTACCCCAGCCTCCTATTTTATTGTCAGTGACATCGTTCTGTACCAGGAGCCTACGCTCCTCCCAGGCCCGTTAATCTGGCACGGGGCTTTAGCGTTAACGCTTCGGCCCCAGTCTGCATGTTAATAGAGGCAAATGTGTCTGCAGGATGGGCTGGGTACATACCTTACTAGCGGCCATAGAAAAGTATTTGAAAGCAGTAGCATTATTTTGTGGTGCTGCAGCATTTCCTTCTAAATACATCTACAAAAAAAGAAAAAAACACACACATACAAATAAAAAGATGTAAAAACTAAAGATTTCGAGGGCGATGAAAATGTTTTAGAATGACATCGAGGTGACGATGGCACAACACGTTGAATGTAGTAAATGTTGCTGAAGCACACACTTTAAAATGGTTAATTTTATGTTATTTGAATTTCTCCTCATTTTTAATAAAAGGAAAAATTAAGGATACAATCTGGTACACACACTCTAGAGTACCCTCACCTAAGGGTGAGAAAAGAATCCTATTGGTGTTTTTTTCATGTTCCCTTGCATCTAAATTTACTGTATGTAGTACTTCTGGAAGCCGGGCACTTGTCCCCATGGTTACTGATACAGACTGGCTGTGGGAGCCAAGGGCAGTGCGCAGGGGAGTGAGTGCTCTTGGAAGGAGAGAAGGTGCCTCTCCAAAGGAACCTTCCATAAAGGCTCCTCCCGTCAGCCAGGGAGGGCCTGGTTCTTTGGTCAGTCTGGAACTGGTTCTCATTCCAGGGACAGCGGAAGGAGGCACCACATTGGGGGGAGGTCTGTCCCAGGGTTTAATGTACAACTAGATCAGATCTCCCGTTATACGCCAGGGGTTCATGGGGAGGGCTCCAAGTTACGCTCTGCCAGGAGCCCTGGGCCACCGGTACTTTCAAAGACTGCTTTGGGGTAAGGAATAGTTAGGGAGTTTGGGACTGATGTGTACACACTGCTATATTTTAAATGGATAACCGACAAGGACAGAAAGTACAGCACTTGGAACTCTGCTCAATGTTATGTGGCAGCCTGGATGGGAGGGAGGTTTGGAGGAGAATGGATATGTGTATGTGTATGGCTGAGTCTCTTTGCTGTCCACCTGAAACTATCACAACATTGTTAACAGCTATACTCCAATATAAAATTAAAAGTTAAAAAAAGACTGCTCTTGGTACCCCAGATAAAGACCACTATTGTACGGGACTTCTTCCCAAACTGTCACCTCAAGAATACCTCTGTCAGTTTATAGCTGAAGGCCCTGCCTAGCTGCTTTCGCGAAAAAGGTGGGCAGACCTATTACCCTACACTGGTTCAGTTAGCTGGTACTACTAGGTTTTAAGAAATGAAAACTATTGATCAAGATGACACTTGTACCTTTCCTATAAATGCCATAGCGTTTGCGCTCCCAGCTTTTGCTGCCTTTAAGAAGTAGTATAATGCTTTCTGGAGAGAAAAGGAACAGCATTATTGACAGTTATAAACATATCCTATAAAATAGCTTTTGCATTAAATTTTATTTCATTTGACACGCATTAAAAAATATCTGTGAAATGCCTACTTGGTTTAAGGCACTCACTACTCCAAGTGCTATTTCAGTCATGAACCTGAAGAGTGGGAGATGAATATATATTTCTTACATACAGTTTTAGAATGTGAGGGCTTGTTTTTCACATTTGGAAAGGCATCATGGGCATGTTGCTTTGTGGAGGAGAGAGAAATCCCAGCTGTAGAACTAAATACTCCATTATTTTTAAAAAACTACACTTGTATGTTGACAGGATGTACTTAATGTGTAAGACAGTTTGTGTAACTGGCAGAATTGGATATATAGCATCCTAATGTTTACGATGCAGGAGGGATAAGACCAGACACGCCTGGTTGCCTACTAGGGCCAGGTCTCTCTGCAGAGGTGACCTCAGACCAATTCTTTCCAAAGAAATCAAAGGGGGCCAGCAAAACCTTCTGACTCTCTCTGGGTCATAACATTAAATGAAATGCTCAGTCTAAATGCATGGGAGTGGACCTGTCTCTTGCTGCCTCATTCCTCAGGCCTCCTCCTGACCATCCCTAAGTTCTCTTCAGAGACTTTGTGGAGAATTAAAGAAATAAGTCCCAGGAATGAGAAATGAAGACACGCTCCAAAGTGTCTTAGTAGGACACAACTTTCCTCTCTTTAAAAAGCCTTGACTGATTGTAAGGATCTGCAATGGATGGGTGCCGGGAGCTGTTATGGGAGGTCCCGCCCGTGACGAGATCATGAAGAAAATACCGGGCAGGCAAGGCCGTCCGGGACCCCATCCATGACGAGGTCACAAGGAAGAAACCTGGCAGGCAAGGCCCTCTAGGATAAGGGACCCTCCAGGTTGGCCTCAGCCTCTACCCCACCCTGCATCCTCCCCCCTTTTCTGCTGTTGGTCTTGTTCGCCCTGATGCGGATTCTTGTGTTGCCTGCTGAGAGCTCTCCTGCTCCTCTTTCACTGAATGAGGACCAACTTAAAACCCTAATTAATAAATCTCCTGGACGCTGGTACCCTATGAAGGGGCCAGGGATGAAGGAAATGCTTCAATTCAAACCCTTTTGCTGGCATTCTGGCTTGTTTGATAAATATGTGCTCTCATTGCACAAAATGCTCATGATTGTTCTAAACATCCTAAGCACAGGGCGCTAGCAAAAGAAACTATTAAGCATAGGTCCCTCCGCGGGGTGAGAAAAGCCCCACAAATGTTATAGCCACATATACGCCTAATAGAAAATAGTTTAGATAGAGATTAGCTGGTGACTTCTTGCAGGTAATTAACTTTTGGACTAAGAGCCTGTTTTGTGCCATATCTGCTGTTTTTGCAATCCTTTGCTTTTCTGTTCTGTGAAAATGTAATCCTATCTAGCTCCCTTGGAGATGACACCTAATAGAAAGAAAATAGATTAACCACAAAAAAAACAGGGTCGGCTACTGAAGTTGCTTAAAGTTGCACCAGGTGCAAGCCATAAATTTCAACAGGCCTGAAAGCCAAAAGATATTATACATAGAGATTAACCATAAAAAAAGCCCTAATAGGCTCAGAGCCCTTTGGGGAGTGAGGAAGCCCTATTAGAGAATACAAAAAATATTGTTTTAAAAGTGGTTATTAGATCAACGTTTGATTGATGTTAATGTGCTGAGGTTGTGCAGCACACTATATATAGTTAACACTATATTAACTATTGTTAATATAGTTAAAGATATAGTAAAATAAGAGTTTAGCCCTAGTGTAAAAACAATAAGATAATTGTTAATTTTAACCAGGAGTGCTAAACAGGGGCTGCCTCTCCAGAGCCACAGAGTCTTTGTGTGTTAAACTTTTTAGATAAATTTAGCTGAGAACTTCTGCAAAAAGACTGACTTTTATGTTAACAAAATTGTATTTCTATTATGTTACAACCTGCTGTATCATGAGACCGCCACTGTTCTGTTTTCTGCTAAGCTTAAGGCCAGAAGATAATGTACAAAAAATCTATGGGAAAAGACTCTCATAAACAAAAATATACAGAACACACCTGGTTTCGTGAAGGACAAGCTGATGTAACGTTAAACTAAGTCTGTGTGCTTATCTGCCCCTTAGAAGTGTACCAACTTAGGGTATAAAGTCTACGGTGAAAAATAAAGCAACTGCCAGACTCTGCCACATATCCTGGTCTGGTCTCTCTCTCTCTCATTCGCCGACGCCATTCATCCTGAGGGCTCCCCTGGATCCTGCTGGGGCTGGACCCCGGCAGATGGGCAAGGATCTGCCCCTTCCCAAAGAGAAGAGAATGCTTAAGGAAGAAATCTAGGTAGTTCTTTTATATGTAAATTTTCTCTAGAAATATCGGCAACTTATTTGAGAGCTGTACACATTATGTCCACAAGTCGGTCTGCCGTGGACATAAAGTAAACACAAAAGCCACCATCCTGGACCTCATCACGTCATGGATCCATTCATCCACCCCTCCTTCTCCTCTTCACTTATCCTTTCAAGATCTTGACTGATACCTGCCATATGTATGGTAATATGCTAGGTATCACAGGTGATTTATAGATGAGCAAAACCCACTGTGCTACTTTGCTTCTTAGCAACACTGCTGTGAAAAAGTAGATGTAAATAGCAATGACAATAAGTGAAAGGTAGAATAAAAGGAACACTAAGAAGAATTAGAGGGGTTTAGAATAACAGAAATTGTACCTAGTTCTTTTAAGCATTTTACAAGATTTTTCTTCCTTAATCTTCAAAACGGCACTGTAAAGAAGGTATTACTAATATCTGAGCTATTTAGTGACAGTTGGAGTCAAGAAGCCAATACTGGCATCCTGCCAGCAGCCTAAATCCAATTCCCATGCACTTGGCACTCTGCCTTCATGGTTTAAAGAACGAGGGCTCAAATGATAAAGGTCACACAAAAGATGGAGAGGATTCACCACACACAGGGCATCAGAGGCTGAGGGAACAACATGAGCAAAGAATGGAGATGGGAGTGTCCAAAGTGTGTCCAAGGAATAGTCGTTACTTCAGTATGGCTGAGGTAGAACATTCAAAAGCTGAGATGTGCTAAAATGTGATGGGACAATATTATTAACAGGCTAAGGACTTCTATTCTGTTTGGTTTAAAAATAGAAACCAGTGGAGATTCATGAGCACGAGGGAGTGTTGAAACAAATGCTGCTGAAAATGTCTGGAATAATGTAGGTGTCAGTTGGATAGGAGAAAATTGTAGCAATGCATGATTTACTATACCAATTACATATTGGCAAATAAATCAAATGTATGATAAAATGTATGATTTACTAATCACATTTATCAAAGAACATCAATATAAAAATATTTCTTATGAATATCCCTGTTGAACCAAGACCCAAACATATCCATCGAGAACTATAATGTGTGCGAGTCACAGTGGAGCTGGCCTTGTTTCCTCATTCATGTTCTCCTCCTCTGTGCTCTTGGGCACTCTGTCTTTCCCCATCATAGCATGCATCCACTGGTCTAATTATCTGCTTAATTTTCTGTTTCCCCCAATGTTGAATCCTCTGTACTTAGCACAGTGTCTACTGTATATTAGGCAGTCAGAAAATGTTTCTAGGATGAATGAATGAGTGAGTGGATGAAAGAATAAATTTGTTAATCTCTAAAACAAAGGGACTGAATTTTAATCTTTATGGTCCCTTCCAGCTCTAAAATTATGATTTTATAAACTTATTTTCAAAGTCCAGTTTTAGAATTTGGGCTCAAATATTTGGCATTAGAGAGTTACTCTGTGGGAAACTAGATTTGAACTGTTAAAAGAGAATAACCTATTCCCCAGAAGCAAATAAGAATCCTGGAGTTTTTCCCCATCCTTCAATATAATGAGCCCATAAAGACCAAAAATTGAGGATCTAATTTCTCCTTCCACTTTCCTTGCTTACTTGGCATCTCAGTTCTCTTTAATTTCTCTTTACATTAACCTGCCTTTAATGTTGGGCTTCCCAGGTAGCTCAGTGGTAAAGAATCTGCCTGCTAATGCAGGAGATGCATGTTTGATCCCTGGGTGGGTAAGATCTCTTGGAGAAGGAAATGGCAACCCACTCCAGTATTCTTGCCTGGAAAATGTCATGGACAGAGAAGCCTGGCAGGCTACAGTCCATAGGGCTGCGAAGAGTCAGACATTACTGAGCACACATGTCTTTAAAACTATTGTTTCAACTGCATAAACATTTACTAAACACTCTGTGGAAGTATCTGGCAAGCTACTTCAATGGTCATGCATGGGCCAATCTGCATTCTTGCTCTCAGAGTCAAGTATTCATCCATCCATTCATCTATCCATCTGTTGTGGCCTGCATATTTTGGTTCCCCCGCAAATCCGTATGTTGAAAACCTACTACCCAACGTGATGGTATTAGGAAGTGAAGTTTCTGAGAGGTAATTGGCAGAGTCCTCATGAATGGGATTAGTGTCCTTGAAAAAGGCCCCCGAGAGCTAGCTTGACCCTTCTGCCAGGTAGGGATACAAGGAAAAGTCTATAAATTGTAAGAGGGCCCTCACCCAAACATGGTGGCACCCTGATCTCAGACTTCCAGCCCCCAAAACTGTGAGAAAATAAAGTTCCATTGTGTATAAGCCACAGAGTACACAGTATTTTTGTTATAATGGTTCAAACAAAAACACGATCCATCCATCCATCCATCTTTCAAATATTTACTGAGCACCTACCATCATATTTTACTGATTATAAGATGTATACCCCCCATCTATCATTTTAATCAGGACATTTTTTACTATCAATGGCATCATAAAATTTATATTGGCAGTGTTTTCTCTTGCTCAGTAAAACATAATGTGTCTTATAACTGATGGTGTCTCAGGATGAAATATAGTGTGTCTTAGCCATTATGCTAAGTGAAGTTTTATGATTTGAATGCACATCTGCCTTTTTTTTTTAAAACTGAAAATGATTTTTCATTGGTTCTGAGAAAATCCCTAGTTTAATCAGTTTGCAATGTTTCCTCTAGAATGAAATGCCAAGAAAATGTGTTGCTCTAAAAACATTTGGGAATACTTCTTTTATCTCAGACTCTGTAAAATACTCTTAAAAGGGATAGCGTTAGCTCTCTTCTTTTTAATGGACGGCAGAGTGGACAAAGCAGTTGCCTTTACATATTTGGTATTATTCCTCTGCTAGGTGTAATTTAATTATGCTTTATCCACTTTCATAACATGCACCAAAACACCCAACTTTTCCTAATCCAATTCATCCTGGGCCTGTATATATTTAGAAATGCAAATAACATTAAAATGTATGTATACAAATTCAAGACAATGTAATCAAGAATTGCATATACAATACTTCCCAATAATTAAGAATCTTGTGGGGAGGAGATGGTGAAAGTGTTGCCTATAGTGACAACTCATGAGAGAAATTAATTCAGTCAAACAGTGAGGAGGGTGAAAACATCAAGCTAGTCATTTCTAGGTATTTTGATTTTTAATTTGCTGGACAGTGCTGGGACAGGACTAGGAAAGGTCAGTTTTCATTTCAATGCCAGAGGAAAGCAGTGCCAAAGAATGTTCAAACTACTGCACAATTGCATTCATCTCACACGCTAGCAAAGTAATGCTCAAAATTCTTCAAGCTAGGCTTCAACAGTACATAAATCGAGATCTTCCAGATGTTCAACCTAGATTTAGAAAAGGCAGAGGAATCAGAGATCAATTGCCAACATCTGTTGGATCATAGAAAAAGTAAAAGAATTCCAGAAAAACATCTACTTCTGCAATTCATTGACTATGCTAAAGTCTTTCACTGTGTAGATCACAACAAACTGTGGAAAACACTTAAAGAGATGGGAATACCAGACCATCTCACTTGCCTTCTGAGAAATTTGTATGAAGGACAAGAAGAAACAGAACTGGACATGGAACAACAAACTGGTTCCAAATTGGAAAAAGGAGTATGCCTCAAGGCTATATATTGTCATCCCGCTTATTTAATTTATATGCAGAGTACATTGTGTGAAATCCTGGGCTGGATGAAGCACAAGCTGGAATCNATGAGTTTGAGCAAGCTCCAGGAGATGGTGAAGGACAGGGAAGCCTGGCGTGCTGCAGTCCATGGGGTCGCAAAGAGTCAGGCATGACTGAGTGACTGGACAATAACAAGCAGGCATCTCTTATATTTATAAACAGCCTCACAATAATTTTCTTTGGTGGACTAAAACATTAGCATACTGGCTCAAGTGGTGATTCTTAGGCTGAGAAATAACACCTAATTCTTAGGATGCTGTCATTCATTTATTCAGTAGACAGTAAGTACCTAATACGTACCAGATACTGATCTAAGTATAGGACACACATTAGTGAATAAGATGGATAAGAATTCACATTGCACTGCGGGAAGACAGTTAACAAGCCAAGATCAGTAATGTACAAGGAATGAGAGGGTCTAGAGAAAAATAAACACAGCATGATAGGATAAGTGATTTTAAAAAAAGGTAGAATTAAGAAAATCCTCTCTGAGGAAGTAAGATTTTAAGGATAAGAAGCTAGCCATGGGGAGATCTTCCCACTCCTCTCTGCACATTTCACACTATTCCAAGTTGATTTTGGTGCAGCTAAGCTGTGGCAAGTTGCAAAAATAGCCATAATACTTTGCAGGTCTGCCTATTAAGAGAAGTTCTTTTTCCTATTCTTTCAATGCTGGCTGGCCTTGTAACTTACTTTGGCCAAAAGAATATGGCAGAATTGGTTCTGTCACAGTTCTGACCCTAGGCCTCGGGAGACTTTCACTATTGCATTTGTAAAACACTTGACTGCCATGTAAAAAGCGTGGGCCTGCTGGCTGGAGGATGAGAGCATGAGGAGAGACCAAGTCATCCTAGCTGCCATGGGCCAGGCCATCATAAATCAGCCAGCCCTGCCCAAAACTCTAGCAAACTATAGATGTGTGAACAAGCCCAGCCAAGATCAGAAGAATTACTCAGCTGAACCCAGCCATAACTACTGACCTGCCAAAATCGTGAATTAAATAAATGGTGGTTGTGTTAGGCTACCTAAGTTTGGGGGTGGTTTATGATGGCAGCCTAAGCTAACTGGTAAGCCAATGAGTCTTGAGGTCTGATGCCTTGACAGGAATCCTTCATCCAAGTTCAGGTTTCTTTAGGCTAAGGAAAACAGGAAGGATCAGCTTGTGCTTGCATAACTGCTGGGATGGTTCTGGAATTAAACCAGTCTTTTTGAGATGTCTGGATGGGAAGAATGGGGCCCAACCTACCAACAGAAAATTAGAAGCAACCTGAGTGATTACATCATTCCTTTTTCTTGCTTTATGAATAAGGAAATTAGATATCAATGGCTAATGTTTTTTAAACTTGTTTCTTGTTTTTGCTCAGGTCAAGAGTAAGTAAGTAAGTTTTAACTTGAGTTTAAGTAAGTTTTAATGAAAGGAGCACAGGCTTTGAATACAGAAATACTGAATTGGACTTTTATTTCTTAACACTCTTACTACCTAGCTGTGAGATTTGAAACAATTTACGTCATCTATCCAGCCTCAGCTTCTCATCGGTAAAACAGAGCTAATGCGTGTGAATGAGCCCAGAGCAGAGCTTGTCTGGGCCATTCAGCTGAGGCCTGACTGTCTCGCTGTTGCTGCTACGGCACCAGACTCTTCTGCTGCCAGCCTCGGGACTGCACCTCCTTCTCACCTGGAGGCAGCAATAGCTCCCATCTCATGCAGCTGCAGTTGAGTGAAGTGCTTAGCTTTGTGGGGTTTTATATACTTTACAAAGGTTAGGGGGCATTCTGTATAGGCGTGGTTTTGGTGCCTTCACAATCAAATTCTGTCTTTATGGAAAATGGGAACTTCCTCCCAGTTTTGCATCTTGTAGTTAGCAGAAGAAACTCATTACAGGCTGAAATCTGATGTTGGCATAATATTGTGAATCCAGAAGTTCTCACCCAAGAAGCTAAAACCTTAGTTAAAGACCTTCAGTTGAGCTGTCCTTGGATGGATGCATATGTTTATTTCAATTGCTACCTATTTTATTACATTTTATAAAGCTAACTTTGACAGTTACCTAATGCATATAGTACCTCATAGAAAACACAAACTATAGTGTCAAAGATACATTCATAAAATAACAATATAAAGTGAAATAGAAAGTAATAGCAGTTCAGATATTTATGTAACTGCTGGAAAAGTAGTTATTTCTATTGCTTAGCCATTGGGATTGAAGTAGAGCAAATACTCCTTTGAGATGGTGGGCACATGGCCCTATAAAATGACAAGGGCTACAAAGTCATCTTTTAAGAAGAATCTCAGTTACTTCCCCAGATGTGTGGGAATCTAGGGCCTTAAAACTACAATCAGGGTTGAGACAAGACCTCGTCCAGGGGCTTTGGCATCTTACTGAAGAGGATCCTGTGTAGATTAAGTTTATTTTCTTTTTTCTCCACCATATATTTGAATTGTTAATTAATCATCTAACTTCATTGGTATAAAGTAAGGTTAAGCAAAGCGATTGAAAGGAGCTTTACAAATTTCTAAAGAAGCTTAATAATATACCCAATTATGTTGGAAGCAGCCTGTCCTCTGATTTAGCTACAGGGGGTTGAGGCTTGTCCTCAGGCTCCTTGGCAGGAAACTCCCAGGTGGACTTGCCACAGCTGGCCTTAGGGGAGAGAGCGTGTCCTCCCCACCCAGCCCCAGGGCAGCTGTGAGTTTGCCTGGGAAGTGGGTGGGTTCAGTGGGAGCCCGGAAACTCCCTGCCCCAGCTACTCTTTCACAGGCCTCTACCCCTCTGTACATAGAGGCAGGTAGAACAGTGCTTTCTCCACCGAGCTTTGTTCTCCTTCCGAAGCTGGGAAGCAGGTCTGACAAGGGAAGCCGAGGTGGGCTTTCCCCAGCAGCTCTTCCACCCACCCTCAGCCTCTCACCCCTGTCCTCCCACCCACACGACTCGAGCTTGAGATGGACTTACATAGTAATCTTGATCCAGACCTTTCCTCCCAATTAGATGCAACTGTCCGAGAGATACCTAGAAATGAGTTTTGGAAAATGATTTTCGCAGTAGTATTCATTTTAAAAGAGAAAAAGGGAAAAAAATCACCTGATGATTTTACTATAGTACATCGATTCAGTTTGCTGCAGTTAGTGTGTCTTAAAAAAGAGGCAGGAAACTGTGTTTTATTGGGTAAATGGTTGACGTTGGGTATGCAGCTTCTTCAGGGGCAGGAAGCTGGCCTGATGATGTGCAGCAATACCCAGGCACACTAGTGACCTTAACTTTTGGCTCTCAAAGGTCACATAAATGATGTCCCATTTCTATTCTCATTTCCAAAGACAGGCTGCTTCTGACTCCTGATAAGAGTTCATTCATATTAAAACCAACATTTATGGTACCTTTTTTCTATAATTACAATCTAGGTTTTTTTTTTTTTTAATAAGTTTTTTAGGAGTAAGTGCCCAAAAAATGCCATTACTATGGCAACTGGCTCCTTCATAAGCTATAAGAAACTACAAGTTAGGGAACAAAAAACGAGCAGAACAAAGAGGAGGGGGTTCTCTTCCCTTTCCTATTCAGGATGGGGCATTGTTGTTAACCCTTCTAGGACTCAGAGAGAACCAAGCCCTTTGTGATTAAAATGTTCAAAAATTTAAGCTCATCTGTATACATTACTTGTATCTGAACATCTCCTCTTTCTGCCAAAAATTTATAGTACTGGTATATGTCCCAATCCAAAATCTCACTGTTGGAACTTAGATTTTCAGGTCTTTCAGTTAGTCTCACTTTTTCCACTGGAATACCTTCACTTTTTTCCAGTTTATCAGCAACTGTGAACAGAAACAAGCCAGAGCAATATATAACATTCATCTTAGAGCAAGCACTATTAGGATTATTCTCTTTAAATTATGCCGAGATCAGGTCTACTAACAGAAAAGAAATATCCTTAGGAGACAGAAATTTTCTAATTTTGTTTATTTGGTTCTGAGAAAAGTATAAGACACTACCTATTCTTTGTAACCAATATAATCATTGTATCAATATATGTCAGACCCTACTGAAGTCCTTAGCCAGGCAGACTCAGGAAAGAAGATAGATGTCGGAAGAAGGCAACCAACCTTTCAATCACTGACTTTTTCTGGGCATCCTGAAACTACAATATAAGAGTAAGAACTGCTTCTTATTTATTTCCTTTGGATAGTCTGAAAGTAAACTGTAAATATGCTTGAGTAAACCTAACAAAACAGCAGTTTGAAATATATATATATATAAATTTCAGTTTCATTAAGCACATAAAAACATCTTGATATATAAAGCATCTTAAATTCAAAAGCAGTTTTTTTCTCAGATCCTAATCATGACAAAGATGTAAATTTAGATGTTATGATTATAGAAACTAAGCAAATGAACTTTAGCTTACTCACTTCTTAGACTTTTACTTAATACTCTATTATGCAGTCCAGTTTAGTGATGCTGCATGTGGAAATATTACATGCAACTTTGAAAATTCTAGAAATATGTAATTAACCTCATGCTCTGTTTTTTTTTTTTTGTTTTTTTTTTAGACAAAGGATAGGGTAATAGAGTAATGGTTACTTGAATTGTTCTCAAATGCAATGATAGAGATTGCCAATGTATGTATCTTGCACATACATTGTACAATGTATTTACATCCATAGCTTCAGGAATTTTTTAACAAGGATATCCTATATTTGAAATGGTTGAATTATAGAAACTACTCAATATTTATTGATATTATATTTAAATTCTCAGTTTAAGGAAAGAAGATCACAGGATCAAGTAAAACAGAATTATTTGGAGACATGAGCTGAAAAAAATAAAAGATGAGTACAATCATTTAGAACTTTTTGAAAAGTAACTTAAGAAATCAGAAACTCCACATTGTATGGAAAGAACTGTATTATAACTGATGTTAAAGCACAGTCTTTAAATAACTTTCATAAATATTTCAACCAGTATTGATTTATTTTTTTAATTTCTTGGTAAGTCTCTTTATCTTAAAATAAACTATGTGGATTACTCACTATAATCTGCCACTTTCTTGTAATGACTTAGGGCAACTTCACAATTCTGTAGAACATTGATTCCTGATAAATATCTGTACCCCTAAAACACAGGCATATAAATTCTTAATATTCTGACAATGCTATATTTATAACACACCTATTTGGGCTCAAGAATATTTAATTACAAACCAAAATCATCTGTGACATCATGCTTCCTCCAGCACTTCCAAAGGTATAATATATCAGTGCCTAAAGTTAAAAAAAAATTATTTGACATCTAAATTTGAAACTCAAACCCAAAAACTGCTTTTTTATTCCTAGCCCAGCAATGAACCTCCAGCTACTCCCATATAAATCCCAAATTTCGTTCTCTTCCTCTTTAAAGATGGCTGCCATTCACTGAGGGCTTATGCAGTTCTGAAGTTTGTGAAAAGGGGATTGTACATGATATTTCCTTAAAACATCATGAAATCCCTATGGAGTAGATATTATCTGAAACTTTATAATATGGAACATTAGGAAGCTAATGGCATTCAGGCCCTAACCTTCTCCAACTATTGAGCTATGCTCTTACCCACCACTCTAGAGTGAGCCCTTCACTCAAAGAGTAGACTCTCTATTCAGTGTCCTTTAAAGAAATCTTTTGTTCCAAAAAAAATAGAATGACTTTACCTTAGCTTGATTGTATTCCATTCCTATTCCATAAGAAGACAAAAATCCTAAGGCCTAAAGCCCAAAAGAAAAAGAAAAATTCAATAAATCCATTTATTTTAGAGTTATTACCAACATTAGTAAGGACTATTTTAAATGTCTGCTCTATAATTACTTGTGTCGTTAACTTATTTCTTATAGTATAGCAAGTTGCATTATTATACTTCTGCTAAGGCGGTGCGAATTTAGAAAAGGTAACAATAATGGAAAGTTTTTATAAAACATGTGGAAATAAGCTAATACTTACTGAACTTTAGAATAATTATAGTGATAAAATAATATAAACCAATGCTCTGCATGTATCTGCCTTTTAAGAATTGTAAAGACATTTTTCTCCAATATGTAAAAATTTGAATTTGAATATTTTTCTTCATATTTTAAAAATAAAATGTGACAGATATAAAAAGTTTGAACAGGAAAAATTATATTGAATAAAAAGTCAAAGTCTGAACACAGATCAAGATGGTGGAATACGAAGCCCCAGGCCTTGTTCCTCCAATGGAGCCAAAATATACAGTCCAAAAAGCCTTTATGAGAACTCAAGAAACCAGTTAAGAAATCACTGTTACCCACCCAGTCAGGCTCACAGCAAAGAACGGCCCATTGAAATAGGTCAGAAAAGCCATTTTATTTAATCTGCAATCACCCCTCCCCAAGCCAGCACAGCTTGGTGTGAGCAGGAAGGAAAGAGAAAAACGGGATAGGAATTCGGACTTTCAAGGAGTAGCTGATCAAAGATCTGACTTTCATCTCATCTGATTTACAGCACTGGCAGAACTGGAACGCTTTAGATGCTAGGGACCTCTAAGCAATAAAGAGAGCTCAGAGACTTGTTGCAAGTTTGAGAACNATGCAGCAAGAGAAAAGAGACTAGTCACATACAAAGACGTTTCCATTTGACTATGAGCAGATATATCAGCAGAAACATTACAGGGTAGAAGGGAGTGGGATGAAACATTCAAAATGCTGAAAGAAAAAAGCTATCAACCAAGAACAGTATATCTGGTCAAACTAATTTTAAAAAATGAAGAAGAAGTATAGAAATTCCCAGGTAAGCAAAAACTGAGGGAATTCATCAACACTAGAGCTGCCTTACAAGAATTGCTAAAGGGTGTTCAAGTTGAAAGAATGTTAGCCATAACACAAAAGCATACAAAAATATAAAACTCTCTGGTAATATATAGACAAACACAGAATCATATAATAATGGTGGTGGATAAGTCACTTTTAATTCTGAAAGAGAATAAAAGATAACTATAACTAAAAAACTATGGTAGTGGATACAAAATATAAAAGATATGATTTGTGTCACTGATAACATAAAATGTGAGGAGAGCAGAGTATATGTGATTGAAGTTAAGTCAATATCAATTTAAAATAGATTGGTGCAGTGGTAAAGAATCTGCCTGTCAGTCCAGGAGATGCAGGAGACATGGGTTCAATCCCTGGGTTGGGAAGATTCCCTGGAAGAGGCAACGACAACCCCCTCCAGTATTCTTGCCAGGAAAACCCCATGGACAGAGGAGCCTGGTGGGCTACAGTCCATGGGGTCACAGAGAGTCAGACACAACTGGACAACTGAGCATGCATGTCATGACAATAAGATGTTTTATGTAATTCCAAGAGTAACTGCACCCTGGAGAAGGGAATGGCAACTCACTCCAGTATTCTTGCCTGGAGAATCCCATGCACAGAGAAGCCAGGCAGGTTATAGTCCATGGGGTCACAAAGAGTTGGACACAACTGAGCAACTAATACACACAAAGAGTAACTACAAGGAAAATACCTGTAGAAAATGCACCAAAAAAATGATGAGGGAATCAAAGCATGCCATTACAAAAAATAAATGAAAGACAAAAGAAGGCATCAAGAGAGGAAAAGAAGGACAAAATAACGATAAGACAAACAGAAAATAATGAACAAAATGGCCGTAATGAGTCTTTCCCTTTAAGAAGTTACTCTAAATGTATATGGATTAAACTCAATTAATAGACATAAAAGGCTGAGTGGATAAGAAAACAAGACCCAACTTAATGCTGTCTACAGAAGATTTATTTTAGATACAAAAACACACATAGTCTGAAAGTGAAAGAATGGACAAAGATACTCTATCGTAGAGTAAATTGTAACCAAAAGAGAGGGATGATCATACTTAGACAAAATAGACTTCAAGTCAAAAACTGTCACAAGAGATAAAGGATACTGTGTAATGGTAAAAGGATCAATTCACCAGGAAGATATCACCATTATAAATATATATGCATCTAAGAGCAGAGCACCCAAATACATGAAGCAAACATTGACAGAGTTGAAAGAAGAAATAGACACTAATACAATAACAGTAGGAGATTTTAATTCCCCACTTTCAAAAATGGATAGAACAACCAGACAGAGATTAATAAAATTTTCTTTGTTCACAGATGACATAATCTTATATGTAGAAAGCCCTAACGATTTACAAAACACTGCTAACATTAATAAATTTAGAAAAAGCATAGGATGTAAAATCAACACACAAAAATAAATAGATTTTCTATACATTAACAATGAATATTCAGAAAAGGAAATTAACAGTCTCATTTACAATAGCATCAAAAACAATAAATACTTTAGAATAAACTAACCAAGGAGGTGAAAGGCTTGTACACTGAAAACTATAAAACATTGTTGAAAAAAATCTGAAAATACATAAATAAATGGAAAATATCCTATGTTTATGTATTAGAAGAAATAACATTGCCTGTTTATATCCAGAGGGATTAGATTTAGTGCAACACTTGTTGAAATCTCAATTTCTATTTCTGCCATTTTGCAGAAATAGAAACAACCATCCTAAAATTTATACAGAATCTCATATGTAAACTCACAAAATAGCTCATCTATCTTGAGGGAAAAAACTAAGCTAGAGGCCTCACACTTCCTGATTTCAAAATATATTACAAATTAGAGTGATTCCAAATCTGATGGTACTGGCATAAAGACAGACATACAGGCCAATGGAACAGTGTAAAGAGATCAGAAATAAATCCTCATATATGTGGCCAAATGAGTTTCAACAAGGATGCCAAGGTATCGGATGCTTCTGAGAAAACTGCAATCTGTCCTTTCAATTCTAAACATTAATGTATCTGTTCCAGTTACTGTGGCTGGTGTAACAAATCACTCAGAAACTTGGTGGCATAATGACCATTTATTATGCCAAGGATTCAGTGGGTCAGGAATTCGGCCAAGGTAAAGTGGGGATGGCTTTTCTCTGATTCATGATATGGGGGCCTTAGTTGGAAGACTCAAAGGCTGGAGTTGCCATAGTCAGAATTCTGGTTCATTCACACGTTTGGCAGTTGATTCTAGCTGTTGGTTGAGATCTTATCAGAGGCTAACAGCCAGAGCAACAACATGGGACATCTTCTATCATATGAGCTTCTCCAAGTATGGTGACTGTGTTCCAGGACTGAGCACTCTGAGGAGCGGGAGCAGGGCAGAGCTGTATCCTTTTTACAACTCCGCTTTCATTTGTAGCATTACTTCCAGCAAGCTCTCTTGTTTGAATTAGTTACAAGCCCACCTGAAAGCACTGAGTCTTAACCACTGGACTGCCAGGGAATTCTCAACCCTGGTATTTTCTGACAAGTTCTTTGCTATCAGATAGGATAAGATGTTTCAATATCATCTTGTACATTTTTTGCCCCACACCTGGAATTTGAAATTTTCCAAAGGAGTTGGCTTCTTTTCAGTGGGAGAGGACGTCTATTGTTTAAGAATAATTCCTTTGTGGGGGAAGAATGAATATCTAAATTTAACTTTTTATTTCTTGGTTATCAAATTAAGAGATGTATATGTATTAAAAATTAAAGTTCTAATACTTCTGAGGGCTTAAAATTTAAACAGCAATGCCCTGCTCCTTTCTCGGAAACTCCCTGTTTTCTTCATAGAAAACTATTTTTAATTATTTTGGCTGTTTTCTTCTGATAATTATCACCATTATGACTCCTGATAAATTGCTACTACTTGCTGCTAATTTATATTTTTCACACATTTAGCTATAGATTTGCTACAAGATAGATAAAGATTTAGGTCATCTACATGACTTTCTTCTTTTCTCTTCTTGTTCCTCTTCTCAACAGAGTCATAATATTATTTTTTGTCAGGACATAATAGTCTGTTTTGACGTTCCTAATATTTTCAAGCTTCTGCTCATTTGTAAGTTTATCATTCCTATCACCATTTTAGAGGTTCATTCCACACTTTTATGCATATCATTGATAATACACCTTTCTTTCCATCAGTTCAGTTCAGTCACTCAGTTGTGTCTGACTCCTTGCGACCCCATGGACTGCAGCACATCAGGCCTCCCTGTCGATCACCAGTTTCCAGAGCTTGCTCAAACTCATGTCCATTGCGTCGGTGATGCCATCCAACCATCTCATCCTTTGTCATCCCCTTCTCCTCCTGCCTTCAATCTTTCCCAGCATCACAGTCTTTCCCAATGAGTTGGTTCTTTGCATCAGGTGTCCAAAGTATTGGAGTTTCAGCTTCAGCATCAGTCCTTCCAATGAATATTCAGGACTGATTCTCTTTGTGAGGCTGCGCCATGACAGGCAGCCTAGATTAGGAGTAGGCCTGGTTTTCCAGGGTAACATGATTATCAGACCATCTGGAGCCAGCCAATCAACATGCGCCTAGCAAGAGAAAGGGAACCTATAAGGGGAAAGCTGAAAAGCCCACGAACGCCCAAGTTTGAAAAAAGCCCGTGAAGGTTTGGGCCAATAAGATTACTTTGCAAACATGTAACCAATCCGCTTAAGCCAGCTACCAACTGCTTATGCACATCTTATAAACTGGGTAACAGCTTGGGCTCAGCGCTCTCTGACCCCGTACCACTGTGTTGGGTGCGTGGCAGGAGCCCTGACTTGAGTCAGCAATAAACTTCCCTTTTTTGCGAGTTGCATTGTCTTGGAAGCCTTCACNCATATTGAGTGTAGCGCTTTCACATCATCCTCTTTTAGGATTTCTTT